TTCTAATTTAGTAAAGAAAGACATAGATTCTTTCTTACTAATGTTAAAAAAAAAGTGTCTTTATTTTTATATAATAGGTACTGTAGTTTTGTCTTTGTGTATAATAATATTTAAAATGTTATTAAAGTATGCCCTAAGTTAGTTAGCATCTGCTAGTAATAGTAGAAATAGTGTTAAAGTCTCTAAGATGTAGTATGTAACTAGACTAATTAAGTTCTAGATTTGTACAGTACTAATTAATTCCTTTAGTGTCTAGCCTTTAAAGCTAATATCTGTTTAGCTAGGTGTTTAATTAATTTCTGTACATAAGTTCTCTTATACATACGCCTTAAGTTAGAACTTACTAACAGTAGAGATCTTTACTGCGCCTGTGTCCTATAGTTTGCCTTAGTATACTGTATAGTATTAGTTATTAAGGATAAACTACTTAGCATATTTCTTAGGTTTAATGCTGTAGATGTCCTCTTCTGTTGCACAGTGTAGATAGGCAGTAGAGGTAAGGTAGTTAACAGCTTTTTTAGCATTCTTACCCTTTTATTTTATTTTCTTTACATTATGTAAATTATTTTTTTCTTTAGGGTAACCTTTAAAGTTTTAGATGTATAAGGTAATAGCTTTATATAATAAAGTCTTATTATAAAAATCTTTATATAAGGCAACATACTAGTTCTTTACTTGTGTACAGTTATTGTAAGGGTAGTTTAATAACTAACATTTTTTTTTATAGCAGACAAAGCACTTCTTTGTCTGTGTACAGTTGTCTCTAGATTATAGCCTAAACCTAGATAGAGGTCTTCTACATTGTTCTTTTCTGCGTAGAGAGAAGCTTCCTTCTTGTTATGTAGACTCTTATTATGCAGAGTTATATTAGTAGTCTGTGTAGTATGCATTAGGCAGTTCTTAGAGGTATTAGTTTACCCTTTAGTCTATAGTAACTTAGAGTAATGCCTGTAGGTTGCTAAATAAAGCTTTGCATAAAAGCTTAATAGTAAACATAGCATGTTCTAGTTCTAGTTATCTTTAACAGGCTTGTACAATAGCAGTGTGCAGTAGAACATTTTCTTAAAATTCTGTTTCTAGTGCCTTTTATATAAGTGTAAGCTTATTAATTATTGTTTTAAGAACTTTATATAAACTTTTATTAAAGTTCTTTTATTAGCATTATGTAAAGGTTATTATTGTCTAGTCTGTCTAGTACTAGCTATAGTTTACATTAGTGTTAAAGTAACTACTTAAGGTGTTGTATAAATGCTTCTAGTTATATCTAGGGCCTATGTTATGCATATAGTATATATTTGCCTAACCTTCTAGGATGTCTAGAAAGATGTTTGTGTACTAAGTTTTCTAGATATCTAGCTATTAATATAGATTAATAAAGATTCTTATTTTATCTATAAAAATGTTATATAGTTAACTTGTGTAGTTATTATTTTTTTTTTATGCTTTTTAGAATTATATAATCTTGTTTACTAGAAGTTTTTCTTTAGTAGTTTCTCTCTAAGGTGGAAGTTTGTACAGGCTGTGATGTAGTATGGATTGTGCAGGTGGTATTAGTGGTGCATACACTACTGCAGGCGGTGGTGTGTACAATTGAGGGTGTGGAGCAGGCGTTAGGTAGGGTGGCATGTATTGTTTGTACAGTAATCAGTGTAGTGCTGGCTAAGGTGTAGGAGCAGGTGATGCTAGTACATTTAGTGTTAATAGCAGCATTGTGTTTAGTCTGCTTCTGTGTAGAGCCTTATACAGTAATAAAGGTTACATATAAAGCCTTTCTAGTGTAATTGCTTTCCCTTATGCTATATTATATAGCTTCTAGGCTTAGGTACCTTTAGTGCCTAGCTGTAGTGTGATTCTCTTGTCCTCTAGCACTTATATAAGCTCCCTTTTAAATGTGCGGCTAAGTGCTAAGAAGTCTTGTAGTGTCTATTCTTTAAAATTCTCTATGTACGCACTTAGAAGGGTAGCACTTTTCTAAGTTATTATGCGTAGATTAGTAATTACGCAACTTATGTATAATTAAGTCTGCAGGCTTATTAGAGCCTCTAACATGTTAATCTTGTTATTCTAGTACTCTAGGCTAGTCTTGTTCTGTAGTGTTGCCTCTAATATCCCTATGTCCTTTATAAGTTGTTTATATAATAGAAATTGTTTCTTATTCTTCCTGTTATTACGCAGAGTTGTTAGTTGCTAATAAGATTTTATTATAATAGTATAGTTAATTACTTTTCTAGTAGATTGCGTGGGTACTGCTGTTGTCTAGCTGCTAGGTTGTGCAGCTTTAATAGCTTTAGTGTGCGCCTTACACTATCTTCTCTTTACTTTATACAGTAGCAGAGCTTGCTGTGTAATGCAAAGGATTAATATGCTATTATCTAGCTGCTAGGTTGTGCAGCTTTAGTAGCTTTAGTGTGCGTCTTACACTATCTCCTCTTTACTTTGTACAGTAGCAGAGCTTGCTGTACAATGCAAAGGATTAATCTGCTATCCTAAGGGATAGGTAACTAAACAAAGTACCTTGTAGGGTGTAGGTACTCTGCTGTTACTCTTCCTAAGAGATAAGTAACAAAATAAAGTACCTTATAGAGCGTAGGTACTCTATTATTACTCTTACTAATTTATAGTTAATTAAATTAACTACTAATTAGTATTAAATAAGCTCTAATAGCTAGCTGCTTATAGTATAAGCACTTAAGTAGCAAGAGTAAGAGTAGTGTACAGTGTGCACAGCGTACAAGGTAGGTAAGGTAAGGGCAATATGTTTCTAGTTCTATTGCTCTTGTCTTTCCTCTGTACAGAGGAAAAGGGGGATATCTAGATGTTCGCGCACAGAGGTTCGCGCACGAGCATCATGTGACATAGATACGTGATCCTGCTCGTGCGCGATCGCTCGTATCCAGGCCGCGACGCTGCTGCTGCGTACGGACACATATATTATATTTATGTGTTAACTAAAAGCAGCATTTAACTTATCTATTACTACATAAACTATAAACTCTTTATATAATAATATTAACACACTTAACACATAAATCTAATAGTAGATAGAGAATAGTAAGCGCAGTTTTACTTTTCTACTATTTTAGCTTAATTATGTAAAGCTGTTTATCTTTATAAATAAATTATTTACTAATAATAAAAACCTTAGCTTATAGCTAAAATTTTTAATTATATTAAGTAATAAAAACTATATAAAGTAAAGTAACTACTTTAAAATACTAGGCAACATTATATACTAGAATTCTACTAAGTGTAAAAGAGTAACTAAGAGTGTTCTTACTAGTAAACTATATAAAATAGTTAAAAAGTTTAATAATGTAATTACTTTTAGTATAACTTTATAGTAAATTATATAAACACTTAAACTACTACTAATCTTAGTAGTAATTTATATAAATTTAAAGTTTTTATATAATTACTTTATTAAGCTAGGCACTACTAGTAAAAAGTAACTTATAATTAACATTATGTTACTCTATAAATTATATAAAAAAAGGGAAATTACTAAAATTAAGTAGATTAATAGTAAAAATAACTTAGTAAATGTATATATAAAAAAAACACTAAATTAGGCTTTTTAATTATTAGTTCTAACTAACTACTTCTCTGTCTAGATAGAAGCATTTATAGACTAGCTAGATCCTGTGCGCAAAGATGCTCTAGACTAACTAGACTAATAACACTTTTATATAAAGCTTATCTTTTTTTATTTTTTTTATTATTATACACACTTATTTTTTTTATTATAAGGATCTGTTACTGCTAGCACTATACAAAAAAAAAAAGAGCTAGGGGATTATATAGCAAAGCTTAGAAAGTAAAGGATAAAAAAAAAAGCTATTTATATAGCATAACTAGCTTATTCTAACGCACAGCATTACTAGAGGCAAGTTCTAATAAATAGAGTAAAGAAAAAGCAAAACATAATTAAATAAACTTACATAGATAAAAAAGAAGTAACATGTATAAAAGGTAACTCTTTAAATAAAAAAAAAAGTTACTAGTGTCTATACACAGCAGCAGTGTTGCAGCCTAGATATAAGTAATTGCGCATAAGCAGGATCACATATCTATGTTACATAATGCTTATGTGTGAACCTCTGTGCGTAAATATCTAGATATTCTTTTTTTTTTTATATAAAGAAAAGATAAGAGTAATAGAACTAGAAACATATTACTTTTACTTTACCTACTTTATACACTGTGCACACTGTACACCACTCTTACTCTTGCTACTTAAGTGCTTATACTATAAGCAGCTAGCTGTTAGAGCCTATTTAACACTCTTAAATATATTTATTTGCTACTTATATTTTAATATAACTAAACTAAGGCTACTAGCTACTCTTTTTAGTAAGCTATATAAAGACATTAATAGTTAAAGCTATCTTTTTATATGTTAATAGCAAAAAGTTACTTCTATAAATTAAGTAAGTTTTTTATTAATAAGTAGTTTTAGTTTAGTAAATAATAAAGTTATTATTTAGTTAATTAAGCTTAGCTAGTAAGTAGTCTATAATTAATATATTTTACAATAAATAAAAAGTTATTGTTTAGTTAATTAAGCTTAGCTAGTAAGTAATTTATAATTAATACATATTAAATAAATAGAAGGTTATTGTCTTATTAATTAGGCTTAGGTAGTAAGCAATCTGTAATTAATATATGTTAAGGTTTATAGAGCCTCTTTAGCTAGATGCAAAAGCTAAATGTGCAGTAGTAACTATTGTACTAGTTAGAAGCGCAACTCTAGGCTTATAACTCTTGCATACGCTAAGGAGAGGTTATATAGTAAGTAAATTAACAAGGTACTAAGATCTAAACAAAGTAAACTGCACAAGTGTATTATAAGGTCTAAGGAGCTTAATAGAGCTCTAGGCTGACTATATACTGTACGAGAAAGGAGCTATGCCTAATGAGTGAATAGTGCAGTACATGGGTATGACATCGCGTGAGACACGTGCGACACATAACTCCCTGGGAACGTGGCGCTGCATCTGCTGATGGAAAGCCAGTACAAACATTCCATGTTCAAGCTCTCTGGCGAGGATCTTCTTGTAGTGCCTAATCAGTATGTTTCAGAGCTCAGGAACATGCCCGATGAAATTGTGAGCTTGATTCAAGCCATTATAGATGTAGGTCAGGGCTGCTATTCTAGCTGTTTAGGATATGCGTATTAATCTGCTAATTTGAACAGAATTATGAGGGGCTCTACTCAACCCCCTCGATATTGCTCGAAGGCAACTTCCATACCCGCACTATACAGTCCCGTTTAACGCCTAGACTGCGTCATCATGTCCCAATTGTTCAGGAGCTTCTAGAAAGACGCATTCCGATTGAAATTCTAGCTACGCAACGCCAGCCAACCCCAACCACCTGGGAAGCTCTGCTCTAACGTACTCAAAGATCAATTTACGAAGGTCAAGGGTTTCGATCTCGTACATCGCTTAGTCTCGTCCATTGCGGCTCGGCACTTTGTGGGTGCTCTGCTGTGCGAAGATGAGGAATGGCTTTCAACTGCACTCACCTACACTGAAAACACATTCATCACTATTATATGTCTCCGAATCTTCTCTGATTCGATCAAGCCTCTGGTATCGCTCTTTATCCCCCACGCATACCTTGTTACTTGGGCACTTCGAAAAGCGAAAAGGATCATCGTCCCGTTGATTCTAGAACGACGGAGCCGAGAGCAGTCAGACCCCAATTATACAAAACCTGAAGACTTTTTACAATACATGATGGATGTAGCGAACAAATTCGATAGCCAACCGGACAAGATCGCTCATCAGCTTCTGATCTTAACCTTGGCGGCTGTACATACTACTTAATAGGGAGCAAGCAGCTAGGCGTTAGAAGCGCAGCTTTAAAGTAACTATATAAGGCTATATTAGATATCTTGTAGGCTACAGGGCTTCAGATATCTATAGAATATAAGTTCTATTACTTAACTAAGTAATTACTATAAGAAATATAGTGTTTAATAAGACACTCTTTTATAAAAATAAAAGTAATAAGGTAACCCTCTAAGAAAAGGCCTTTAAAATTATTAAAATTATTAATAAGTAAATTAAGATCTATAATGTAAAAGAAGCTTTTAAGCTTTTACTTTAAAAGTTAAATAAGTAGTAAAGTAATATGCAAGTTATTGTAGTTTAGCCTCCTCTAGTGCTTAGGTAACATCTCTATGCATATTCGCTGTGAAGGCTCACTGTCACAGATCCTGATGGGAAGCGGATTATAATAATGATGATGATAATGGTCAGTAATGCTAACAAATGATCATGGCAAATCGCCATTCCTATTATAAGCGAAAATGTTAAGAGAGAGCTGAGTTATAGCGGCATTGCACTGGGTAAAAAAGAAGCTTTAGAAGCGATCAGACCTTCGTCTCCCATATATCCGCGAAGGGATCCCACTTATCATCCAAATGTCTATCATACTCCATCACATTCGCAACGTTCTCAGCCGTCTCTCCCCCATACAACTTCTTAATAAAAGCAAACGTCACATCAATTCCCGCCGAGACACCCGAAGAACTCCACACTTGCGGAACTCCCGCAGTATCATCGACAACCCATCGAGCTCTCCTCACCCACTTCACATTGGGCCCGAGCATCACGACGGAGTCCCAGGTACTTTTGTTCGTTGTAGCGCACCGATTGTCTAGGAGCCCCATGGCTGCGAGGATCGCGGAGCCGGTGCAGATTGTAATCACGTGCTTCACGGTGGGGAAGACGGTATGGATATATGCTTCGACTGGAGCCATTGTGCCTCTATTACGAGTCCCGAAGCCTATAATTGTCAGATTGAAACCTGGCTAGGCGACATTTACTGTCGTCTTTTTAGCTCCATCTAGTATACTAACCTCCAGGAATCAGCAGAACCTCGATCTCAGGCTCATTTTCAAAGGTGTGAGTCGGTACAATTTCTTGTCCAAAGGACGATGACACAAACGGATTTGGCTCTGGATTTGTGGATACCGGTGTCATTGATTCGGCTATGATGGCAAGTTCCATCTTGTGGGCTCGAGAGAGCACATTCAACGTGCTCAAGGGTCCGAAGACATCTGTTGTGATTGAGCTTATGGTTGATGCAACGATACATCAGTCTCGGTATGACTGAAAATGGTCAAAGATTTGACTTACCAAGAGCTTGAAATCCGGTGAACACGATCATGCCATATCTAGTGGGTGGCTCGGCACTACAATGGGTCAGAATCAGAGCATACGAAAATATGAAACGAGAAACCAGGATGAGGGCACCTCATTTTGACCAATGACCACCGAGGTCTGTTCAATATGAACCGATATGTATGTGGACTTTGAATGCTTCTCAGATGAGTCTTCAGAATCGCTTGCCTCAAGTTTGGGGACACTTTGATCATTCAAGGAAATAACCCTAAAATGGAACTTTCATGGAGACAGTGCTCAGATGCGCGATTGAGTGACTGGATGAGATTTGTGAGTAGCCGATACTTCTCATCCAACGAACAGCAACAGCGTTCTAATTATGTGCTTAAATTCTCTCAGTCATCAAGTCGCCAAGTCCAGCAAAGTCAGAGAGAAGCTTCAAGTCTGACCGGTTTCGGAATGCCCAGCCAATGGCGCTTATCGCGCCTCGATGCTTACCCATCCTTCAGGTCATACGGCTAGAAAACGGCGCCATACTTCGAAAGACTTCGGCCTATTTGAAGGCTGGGAACGTTCGGAGGGAGGGGCACAGGTTTTTGGAGATAATTATAGAGCATCACGGTAGTCTGGAGTTGATGCCACCCACCTAACCTCGGACTATTATGAATCTAAGCCATTGAAGTCTCTCGGAGTAGAAGAGCTGCCTGCATGTACATAACTGTATCACATCTACCAATACAGAGATCGCCCTATTCTTAATGCCATCGCCTCGCCCCAATTCCCGCAACCATGTTGAAAGCGCTTGACAATGTGCTGGTCTTTATAAGCTCTGATCACAAGGCTTCCAACAGCAAGCACAGCACGAGAAAGAAGACAAGTAAGACCCAATGCCCAAATCAGACAACATAGCCCTTGTTCTGCTTGACGCCCTTGACATTCATATTCTTCCACACAAGCATGGACACCAACCCCACGATCCAGACCGACACGCTAGTGATCAACAAAAATCGCCAAGTATCCGCATATGCGTGTTGGATGGCTAGACGGGTGGGTGAGCCCCACTCATAGCCCAACTGCTCTTCAATGGAACCGAAAATCGTGGTGAGATTTCCCTGGTCCTCTGGAGGAAGGTGCAAAGCCAGCTTCTGGGGCAATGTGCCTTGCCAAATAGCGGAAGAAATTGTGAAGCCAATGGCGTTGCCAATGTAGGTGAACAGGTTCAGCAAAGCAATGGTGATGGCGAAGTATTGCTGTGCGGCAGCGGCTGCTAAGATACCGATTTCGACTGTAAGCATGAGAATGCCGAAGCCGAAGTTGATGAAGATGTTGCACATGGCGATGTAGCCTAAGTATCGGGTGGGTTCGCGGAAATATATAAGCAAGCTTGTTCCGAGGACGATCAGCGGGAAGGCGAGGAATACGCTGATTGGTTTGTAGCGTCCGGTAAATGAGATGACTACACCGGTGACAATGTTCGCAATGATTTGTACGACTGTGCCGGATTGTACAACATAGCTTGCATCGGTCACGTCCAGGCCATTCACCACTTGAAGGTATGAGCTGAAGTATTGGTTCCAGCACGCTGTGCTCACGAAGAGCGAGAAGCCCACCATGCAGGTGCCAAGGACTGTGCGATCTCGAAGGATTGCCCATGGAGTGAGACTGACCCGAGCAAAGAATTTCTCCCAGACGACAAATGCAGCGATGAACAAGACTCCGAAGATGAGGAAACAGATGATCATGGCAGATCCCCAACCCTTCGCTTCCATGGTGTACAGATTGAATGGCAGGAGGAAGAAGGCAAATCCAGCGGATATTAGCAGTAGTCCAATAAGGTCAAACTCGTGCACGTAATGCACGGTTGACTGCCAGAATGTGCGTCTACTCTTTGGTCGCGCCGGAACAATGCCTTCTCTTTTGGCCTTCCTGTAGTGGTACATGAATACCCCGAAGAGCGGGAGAGCGACACCAGGGAGTACAATGCTCTCCATTCCGAAGGCCCAGCGCCAGCCACTCCCGTCCAAGAATGATGTGGAAATGGGACCCGCTAGCCATGCTGTGATTATGTATGGGGAATTGAGCAGGGCTTGCATGAGACCTCGATGGCGGAGCGAAGACGTATCTGCAATGAAGACACTGAGACAGTATCCAAGGCCATTGATGCCGACGGTGTAAAAGACCTGGGATGCAGCATATGCTTCCACGCCGTTGCAAGAAGCAGCCATGACGAGGCCGATAGTAGCAAGGGCCACGCAGAGTAGGAATCCATGAGGACGACCGAAGATGTCCAGAATTTTGGCGATGCAAAGATTTGTGACGCCGCCAATCACCTGACTCAAGACACCTGTGGTTGGGATCAGTGAGTGAGCAGAGAAGTCGGATGTGACGTAGGGAAGTAAAGCGCCGCTAACTCCAGTTACAATGCCTTGGACAAAATAGACAAACCAGATCACGACGTAGGCCACAATCAGAGCTCTGGGTGACCAAGCAATCGTGATGGCCTCAGCGTTTTGCACACCCGTTTGGAAATTAGTATCGACAGATTGGTCGTTGGCCGCGTTACCATGGACTTTGTCGACGCTGTGCTTGAGCTCCGAGTTTGTGTCTTGCTCCGGATCATGGATAGTGCTGATTTCTTTCGTGTCAATGGCATCTGCCGGAGGGGAATTCTTGGATGCCATGAGTGATTTTTGGACCTTAGTTTGTGAAGGATTAACGTTTCCTCTAGTCAAAGTGCTATAGTTGTCGCCGCTGCTCCTAACTTTCAACGACGAACAAACGCGCTTTATGCAAGGTGGGCAGTGGAGAAAGTAAGTGCAAAGAAAGGAAGGGAGAGACAATAAAGATCTAATATGGCAAGGCGGCGTATATGCTGAAGTGATGAACCATAGGATCGATCACATGTGGAAGGAATAAGGTCCAAGAGACGAAGGCGTTCCGTCGAAAGAATGCGATATCCACAGCCCGAAGTGCGATCTCGGGGGACAAAGGCGGCGAAAACTAGCTCAAGTGAGCAGGTTGTCTTTCACGCGGGCGCGGATTAGCCGAGGCTGCATGCTTAAAGAAAACCACCTCGAATTTGCTCACACAGATGATGAAAAAGCCACGCTTAAAGTAGTAGGCGCTAGGACTCTAGCCGCAGACCAACGATACGTCCCGAGCCGTATCTGCCAAGCATTTCCCAGAGGCGCCGATGCGAGGCCCGCCAAGCTCAGGGCTTAAGTAGTCAAGGAGGTCCAAAAGTAGACTAGTAATAACACAACCCATGCACCTGAGATTTTTGTCGCGTACCCACGTAACTGTAGGCTTACAATTAAGCTTAGATTACATCTCTTCTAGAGAGTCTAGTCGCCTGCGTAATTTTTAGTTTCTAGATAACTAAAATTAAGTTATATCTAAACTATTATAACCTATATGTTACAACCACTGGTTAGGCCAGAGGAACATGCGGGTCTCCAACCCCACGGAGGAAGGACGGACCGAGGCTGGTGAGGGCACGGCCCGCAGAGGGCACGTGATGCTCTGGATCAGGGATAGTGTGACAACAAGGCTAGGACAAATGCGTACATAGACTTAGCAGGTGGTTGCAGATCTTAGCGGGTGGTTGCAGTGGTTGCAAGCCTTGGCGTGCGATCACCTTTTAGAACCTGCGACCACTGCGACCACACCTAGGTATATAGTCCTAACCTCTCTCTGCTTTTTAATAGGTTGTAGTTATTCTTATTTTTAAAGCATAGCCTTAAGGATAGTAAGATATTTAATATTCTGTTAATTTAAAGTTGTAAAGATGAGATAACGTACCTAACAGGTTAGCCGGCCACACAGGTTGGCCGGCCACTTTTGCTAAGCCCCCACTAAACTCTACCTATCTACATAATGCCTTAACAACAACACTAGATTAAATCTTCTAAAGAATATTAAATATAGCTTACTTTTTAGGCTTTTAAATAAAACTTAAAACTTTTCTTATAACAAACTACAGCTATTTATAATGTCTCTTACATAACACTAAGTAATTAACGCGCTAGACAGCCTTTATAAGTAAAATGCTAGCTTAAATTAAGAAATCTAACTAAGCTTAAAAAAAAAGTAGTTATTAAGTAACGTACTTCATAGGCAAGTTGCTCACACACCTGAGTCGCTTACTTTTGCCAAGACCCCACTAAACCACTCTTCCTACACTAATGCATTCCCCACAACACTACTTAGACGCGCTAAAAGAATGTTAGATACAGCTTACGCTCTAAGCTTTTAAATAAAACATAAAACTCTTAAAGAAATGTGCTATAGCTATGTGCAGGGTCCTGTAAAAGACAACAAATAACTACAGCGCTAGATAACCTTTACAAGCTAATTCTACAGCTAAATTACAGAGGCTAGGCAATAAAAAGGAGCAGGTGATTGTTAAGACTATACTTAAGCTATATGCACAAGAAATTTCCCCTTAGATAGCATTTATAGCTAATATAGCTAATTCTTTGCGCGCTAAGCGTAATCTAGGCTATATTTACATAAACTAGCCTAGTACGTTTGTAAAGCGTTATTTAGAGCTTAAAGTAAAGCTTTAAGCGCAAGTATAGTTAAGAGATATTTAGCTAATTATAAACCTTATTTTGCTAAAGTTGTACATGTTATTATCCTAGATGCTATACTTAGCTTTAATATTCTCTATAAGGCTAAACCTGCCTTAAATTACCCTAGGACTCTTGCAGAAGGCTCTTTTATAGTTGTACTTACGCTTAAATGTTACTTTAAGCTCTAAATAACGCTTTACAAATGTACTAAAGTAGTTTATGTAAACATAGCCTAGATTATGCTTAGCGCGCAAAGAATTAGCTATATTAGCTATAAATGCTATCTAAGGGGAAATTCCTTGCGCATATAGCTTAAGTATAGTCTTAATAATTACCTGCTTTTTTTTATTACCTAGCCTTTATAATTTAGCTGTAGAATTAGCTTATAAAGGTTGTTTAGCGCTATAGTTATTTATTATCTTTTATAGGACTTTACATATAGCTATAGCACATTTTTTTTAAGAGTTTTATATCTTGTTTAAAAGCTTAGAGCGTAAGCTGTATCTAACATTCTTTTAGCGCGTCTAAGTAGTGTTATAGGGAATACATTAGTGTAGGAAGGGTAGTTTAGTAGGGTCTTAGCAAAAGTAAGCAACTTAGGTGTGTGAGCAACTCGCCTGTGAAGTACGTTAACTAAATACTATAAGGTAATAATAATTAATAGATTAAGTACACATCTAGTAACGTACTTCACGGGCGAGTTGCTCACACACCTGAGTTGCTTACTTTTGCCAAGACCCCACCCTAACAAACTCTATTATAGCCTATAACAACCTGCTCTAGCACTATATAGTACAGTACAGCCTAGAATATTATTTAGATACTACTTCTACTTCTTGCTTACACATTTACGCGTTATGCCTAGTCTAATTGCACTATCTGTAGCGCCTTTAGAATAGCTTACTTACTTTAGCTTACACCTGCTTCTTTGCCTTTTTTCTATTACTACGCGCCCTAAACTCCTTTAGAGCTGTTAAGCGTAGGCTCTTTTAAATTATTAAGGTCTTTTCTGCCTTAATCTACTTTTTTTTATATAATTTATGTTGTGTAGCAGCCTTATTAGCTGCTTAAAGCTTAGTAATTTTCCATTACACTAATACTAGCTTATACATAATTATTACTGCCCTTTTTAAGACTTTTTTAAACACTTTAACTATAAAAGTTAGTAAACTATTTATATACTTTTAAATTTTTATCTTTATAAGCATTAATTATAACTTAAGTTTTAAAGTATTACTTAGAGTTTACAACTATTAAAGCTTATTATATATAAGTAGTAGTAGTAATAAAGTGCGCAACTTTACATTAAGGCCTATTATAACCTATTATAGGTTAAAAGGAACTAATCTAGCGTTTTAAAACTTTTTTTAGATATTACTAAAAGTAATTATAGCATTAACGTACCTAACAGGTTGGCCGGCCACACAGGTTAGCTAGCCACTTTTGCTAAGCCCCTACCACACTCTACCTATCTACATAATGCCTTAATAATAACACTAGATTAAATCTTCTAAAGAACGTTAGATACAGCTTGCTTTTTAAGGTTTTAAATAAGACTTAAAACTTTTTTTATAACATGCTATAGCTATCTATAATATCTCTTACATAACACTAAGTAATTAACGCGCTAGACAGCCTTTAGAAGCAGAATGCTAGCCTAAATTAAAAAATCTAACTAAGCTTAAAAAAAAAGTAGTTATTAAGTATATACTTAAGCTTATTACACACAGATTTTCTCTTAGGCTTATAGCTATAGCTAATATAGCTAATTCCTTGCACACAGAGTGTAATCTAGGCTAGGTTAGCTTAAACTAGCCTAGTATATAGGTTAAGCACTGCCCTAAGTTTATAATAAAGTTTAATTATAAGTATAATTATAAAAAAAGCACTTTATAAGGATCTAAAGGTTATCTAAGGCTAGTTTTGCCTAGTAGCTAATATAAAAGCTAAGTACAGTATCTAAAATAAAGACACATATAACTTTAATAAGTTAGGCTTTATAATAGGCTAAATATTAACTAGAGTAGTTATTATAGCTTTAAAGAGACAAGAACAGCTAAAAGTAATATAGTAAAGTAATAAAAAGTAGATAATAGTTATCTAGGGCATGAACATAGTAAAGTAGGCTATTTTACTTTTTATTATTTTTAAAGGCTGCTATTACTTCTTTGCCTAGTATAAAAAAAAATCTGCTTTAAAACTAGGTTATTATAGTTTTTAAGAATAGCTAGATAATAAATAAGCTTAGGCTGTAGTAGTTAAAGCACTTTAATAAGCATATAAAAAAAAGGTTGTAAGCGCTTATTAGCTTTTTATTATTAATAGCTATAAAAGCTATAACTTACTTAATTTCTAGCAGTACTATAAGAAAAATAAGATTATTACTATTTATATGCTTTTATACTTATTACACCTTTTATAGCCTTTTAATATAGGTTGTTTTACCCTTTTAAAAAAGGTGTATAGGCGCTAAGCTAAAAATCTTATGTATAACTAGATTACTTATATTATAAAACTTAAGTTCCTACTATGCTTTATATGCGCCTATAATGCAGTAATTACTTCTAGTAATATCTAAGAAGGGTTTTAAGGCTCTAGTTTAGTCCTATTTAACCTAAAATAAGTTAAAATAGCCCTTAACATCTAGTTATATACTTTATTACTACTACTACTTATTAATAATAAGCTTTAGTAGTTGTAAACCTTAAGTAATACTCTTAAATTTAGGTTATAATTAATGCTTTTAAAAGTAAAGATTTAGAGGCATGTAGATAGCTTACTAACATCTATAGTAAAGGCCTTTAAAAAAGTCTTAAAGGGGGCATTAATTATTGCGCATAAGCTAGTGTTAGTGTAAAAGAAGATTATAAAGCTTTAAGCAGCAAATAAGGCTGCCACGCAACATAGATTACATAAAAGGAAGTAGATTTAGGTAAAAAAGACCTTAATAGTTAAAGATAGGGCTTGTCTAACTGCTCTAAAGAAGTTTAAAGCGCGTAGTAATAAAAAGAAGCTAAAGACGCAAGTGCGCGCTAAAGAAGGTAAGCTAAGTTAAAGGCAATGTAGGTAGTGTAATTAGACTAGGCATAACTTATGTATGTGTAAAAAAGTAGTAAAAGTAGACTCTAAATAATATCTTATGTTATATTACTCTATACAGGGCTAAAGTAGGCAGTTTTGCGCTAGAATAGGGTGGTTTTAGTAGGGGCTTAGCAAAAGTAGCCGGCCAACCTGTGTGGCTAGCCAACCTGTTAGGTACGTTATAAGCTGCTTTAAAGTATAGTAAGAACTTTATTTTTATAATATAAGTAATTTAGTTATGCATAAAGTTTTTAGCTTAGCGCTTATACACCTTCTTTAAAGAAGTAAAACAACCTACATTAAGTAGCTATAAAAAGTGTAAT